TGTCACCCTTGGCTCCTTTCTCACCACAATCTGGTCTGTTAACAAGTCCTGTCACTCTGTTTTCAGAATATATTCAGAATTTGACCATTTCTCACACCCGCCCCCCCCTCCCGTCATGATTCAAGTTGATGTTCTCTCGTGCCCAGATTTTGTAGCAGCCTCCTGATTGCTCTCCCTGCTTCTACCCTTCCCCCCACAGTCCATTCTCAACCCTCCATCCCACTTAGAGTAAAGGTTGAAACCTTCCTGATGACCTGTCAGATCTTCTGTCACAAGGCCCACTATTATTCTCTTATCTCCGGCATTCTCCTCTTTTTTCACCTGCTTCAGCCCCAGCTCTCCTGCTTGTCCCCGAATGTGCCAGGAACACTCCTACTGCGGGGCCTTTGTGCTTATGGTTTTCTTCACTGGAATCTTCTGCCCCATTTAGCCACAGGTGGCTAACTTCTCATTTCTTTCACAGTGTCACTCAAAGCCTATAATGTCACAAAGTCCTTCCCTAGACACCTTGTTTTAAATTTCAGCATTTGCCCTTGACTTCAAATTCTCCTTCTCTGCTTTATTTTTATCTTAGCATTTACCACTAACTTGCTGTATATATTGTTTATTTATATTGTTTTTTAGTTTTCTTCCCTACCAGGATATACATAAATATAAGTTTTTATATAGTACATACATAATATATATATTTATCAAGTCTTCCTACCAGAATACCCCAGCTCCCCAAGGGCAGGGATTTTTGTCTGATTTGTTCACTTTACATCTCCAGGGCCAGGATAGTGGGGACTCCATAAGTCTGTTAATACCACGCTTTACAGAAAAGAAACCTGGGGCTCAGTGTAATTAAACAATTTACTCAAAATAACAAAGCTAGGAAGTGGTGGAGTTAGGTAGTTTACTGTTCTATGGTGCTTTACAACATAAAAATCCTCTTTAGCAAAAACGCAGAGCAATGTCAGTGGCCCCTCTCCAGCCTCCTTCTGTACCACAGTTGAAGAAAGGAAATCCCTCAGATGAAGAAAGACTAGGGGCTGAAGGCCTCATGGACTAGTTGATGGACCCCTGGCTAGGGTGTTCAGATATGAGTATCATTAAGCAAGGAAGCCAGGGAACCATTTCCACCCTTGTTCCCAAGCAAGAAAGGAATTAAGCTCCTGGAAGCAAATAGGCACAGGAGGAAGGCTCCTCAGCATCACGGGAAGATATGTCAAGTCCGTTTGAAATGGCTGGGGAGATTTTTTTGATGCAGATATCAGCTTCAAGACGTATGCCACTGGCAGCCCCATCTAGACTCTCTGTGGCCCCTAAAAATTCCTTCCTCTTCCATTCATTCCATTGAACACACAACAAGAAATCCTAGCAGAATACAGCAAGAACAATCAGAGAATAGCCCGCAATTAAATATGCTAAAACTTTACTGGAATGATTTTTAAAGAGTGTTTTTTTTTTGTTTGTTTTTTGTTTTGTTTTTTTTGAAGAGGCAGGTGGCTTCTCTAAGAAGTTCAGAGGGAAGAGGACTGGGCAGGGTGTGAATGGAAGCAGAGTCCTGCTGGCTGTGGATTCTGTAGGGTTGGGGCAAAGCCGAGAGCCAGAGCAAGGGCCTGGCCTCTTCCTGGGGGAGAGCTGTCCCAGAAGAGCTGGCTCTTCTCTAAGCCCTGGGGTCCTCACTGTCCATCCCTGTCTGCTGGGAGGAGTAAGTGAGAGAAGAAGGCCTCTGAGATGCTTAGCCCGGTGCCCAGTACAGAGCAAGCCCTCAATGTGTGTGTTTTCTTTCTCCTTTTTAGGAGCAAAATAAGGGACCAAGGCAATAGCTCAGATGAGGAATAGAAGAGACTTCTTTCTTTCTTTCCTTCTTTTTCTTTCTTTCTTTCTTTCTTTCTTTCTTTCTTTCTAGATTTTATTTATTTATTTATTTATTTAGAGAGTGAGCGGGGAGGGAGGGGGCAGATTCCCTGCTGAGCAGGGAACCTGAAATGAGATTTGATCCCAGGACACCAAGATCATGACCTGAGCCAAAAGCAGATGCTTAACCAACTGAGCCACCCAGGTGCCCTGGAGAGGCTCTTTTTAAAGGTACTGGTCTGTAACCGAGAGAGTGGAGAAGGGAAGAAACTTCTTAAGTCACAAAATGCCTTCTGTTGGCAGTGTAAAGCTGCCTCCTTTTCTCCTCAGAGGTGCAAAGGAGGAGCAGCAGCAGACCATGGCTCTGGGCTCCTCTTCTATTTTCCCTTCAGAGCACCCACCCTCTCTGCCCCTTCACACACTCCCTGCCAGTTCCCAGGACAACTTTAAGGGATCATCTAGCCCCAGAAGTCCCCATTAGATCTGCTGGAACTCATGGTAGGTGAGCTTCTGCCTCAGCCCAACCTGCTTTCCTCCCTTCCTTCTAAGTATTCTCAGGAGTACTCTTGGGGCACCTGAGGGGCTCAGTTGGCTAAGCGTCCGCATTCCACTCGGTTATGATCTCAGGGTCCTGGGATCCAGCCCCTCATCGGGCTCCCCGCTCAGCAGGGAATTTGCCCTTTCTCCCTGCTCATCTTCTCTCTCAAATAAATAAATAAAATCTTTTTTTTTAAGATTTTATTTATTCATGAGAGACACACAGAGAGAGGCAGAGACACAGGCAGAGGGAGAAGCAGGCTCCATGCAGGGAGCCCAACGTGGGACTGGATCCCGGATCCTGGGATCATGCCCTGGGCTGAAGGCAGGCGCTCAACCGCTGAGCCGTCCAGGTGTCCTTTTTTTAAAGAGCACTCTCCAAAAGCCTTCCACGTGTGACTCTAGGGAGTGCAGTGTAAGACCACCAGTCCCTCATTGTCTGTTGCCTTTGCCCCTCTAGCCACAGCCCACTCATCTGACCTCGCAAGCACCATCTTTCCACTTAAATGACTTCATTTGCAAATCATGTATGTAAGTGTGCTTTGCAGATTGATAGCTGCGCATAAGTGTCAGTTTTCATAATTTTTTTTTTTAATTGGGCAACAGGTGAACCCATCAACACCCATTTCCACGTCACTGGGATACAAGATGGCTGCATTTAAATAGATGATAGTCTCTGAAGTGATTCTGCCTGGATCTGAATCGTGGTCCTACTACTTCTTAGTCTTGTGACCTTGGCCCAACTACATAACCTTTCCATTGCTCTGTAAAATGGTGATAATAATGGTCACTTTCTCCTAGAGCTTTTAGTAGAATAAAATGAGCCGTACATGGAAAGGTCTCAGAATATCCATGACATATAATATGCACATAGTATGCATTATGTATTAGAGCCTCACAAGAACCCCTGAGGTATTGTAATCACCACCTGTGTTGGACCCCTCTCGTACCCTACCTCCTAGTCTCTGCCCTTCTTTTCACTCCAGCTGTTGCTGCAGCCACCTGCTGACCCAGGTATAACCCAACAGCACCGTGCTCCACTGGACTACTTATTTCTTACTTCCTGCCTGGTTTCTTTGCCACCTCTACCTGAGATGCTTCCAGAAATGCTCAACGAACCTGGCCCGAGCAAATTTGGAAGTGTGAGGGAGCTAATATTCTAAGTGACATTCCTTGACCAGGAGGGAGTTTGAAACAATGAGAAAATAGCCCCTTCTTTCATTCCTTGGGAGAATAAATCTGAGCTGTAATCTGTCCCATCAAGGTCCAAGTTCAGGTGTCCAAAGCATGGGGCACCCGTGGCTTGGCATTCCCTCCTTCCCTGTCTCATTCTTCCCAAAATAGACTACCCACATACACGTCCTTGCCTCATCCTCTGCTCTTTGGAGAACTGGCTAACTGTGCATAAGAGGAGGGTGAAAGAAAGCTAATGGCTAGTTCAACACCCAGAATCAGATCTAGACTCAAGTTCAAGTCTTCTACCTTCTGAATATCATTTCCACACTGTGCCACCTCTCATTTCGTACCTATGCATCTTAACAGAGGCCTTTGGAAAGCTTGATTAGCCAGTGTGAGGCCAGGGAGGAGAGAGCTATGAATCCATAGCACAGCCCCTTTCCTGTCCCTGCTTAGGGCTGGTTCCACATGGCCACAGAGTGGGGAACAGTGGTTCCACTTGACTGAAGCCTGGGGTGGGGACCGTGTCAAATTTGTCTTTGTATCACCAGCACTCATGGCCCGGCATACAGTAAGTGCTCGGTAAATATTTGCTGGATACATGGGTCTGGAAATCAAACAACTGCTGATTTCTCTGTAAAGATTACTTTTCATGTGGCCATGCTTGTTCCTAGACTTACCGTTTATTTTTTATGCTGGCTTGGGATGTAATCTGCAATGAACAGAGAACGTTTTGGTTTTTTTTTTAATTTTTATTTATTTATTTATTTATGATAGTCACAGAGGGAGAGAGAGAGAGAGGCGCAGAGACATAGGCAGAGGGAGAAGCAGGCTCCATGCACCAGGAGCCCGATGTGGGACTCGATCCTGGGTCTCCAGGATCGCGCCCTGGGCCAAAGGCAGGCGCCAAACCGCTGCGCCACCCAGGGATCCCTAGAGAACGTTTTTGAGAGGGGATTGGATTGTTTACTTTTTTACCAAGCTAAGTTAGTACAGAATCATGTGTCTGGAAATTATTCAAGAAATATATATTTCTTGAAATCATTTGAGAAAAACTGATCATCAAGTTGATTGATAAGTGAAGGAAGTAGCTAGGAGCTGTCAAACCAGTCGCCTGTAGGAGAAATGTACTCTGAGCTACATAGGTTTCACCAGCACTACTTTGATTGTTTGATATTGAAGTGTCTCTGAAGTGTGCCACAGGCCCTCCCACTTCCCACAGCATTCATTCTACCCAGCCTCACTCAAGTTTGGGTTACCTGTCTAGCCTTGTAGGTATTTGGGTCTGTGACCCCTGTACAAAGTGACACACAACAGGGAATTCCTTATACAGAAATAGTAGAAGGAGATGACTGGCATAATTCCTGACTTTCCTGCAGCTTGCTCAGCCTATTCCTGCCACCATCAGCAGGTGCCCAATTATAGCATACTATTCTCCCTTCCAGGTACTATAAGATCACCGTGGTGCTCATGTGCTTTGTGATCCCCACGCTGGTGCCCTGGTGCGTCTGGGGAGAGAGTCTGTGGAATTCCTACTTCTTGGCTTCCATCCTCCGCTATACCATCTCACTCAACATCACCTGGCTGGTCAACAGCGCTGCCCACATGTATGGAAACCGGCCCTATGACAAGCACATCAGCCCTCGGCAGAACCCACTTGTCACTCTGGGTGCCATTGGTGAGTAGGGGTGCAAGAGCCAGTGGGAAGTGCAGCAGCTCAGATTTTTCTTGGCTTTCCAGTGGTTTTCTGGAATCTGTAAAGAGATGCAGTGAAAGTCAGGTGGGATAAACTTGGGCTTTGGTATTAGAATCCTGGCTCTGGGACAAGTCACCTAATCTCTCTGATTTAGAGTTTTCTCATCTGTGAAATGGGAATAGTGATGTCTACCTCACAGGGATGTCATGAAGATTAAGGTACTATATGTAAACCGCTTAGGACAATGTCTGTCATACAGTAGTGGTTTATTTTCACTATGGAAATTTTCCTAAAGGAGGAGTAGCAGCAGACTTTTGTTTCAAACTGCCCTGACCCTTCTGGCCTCTGTTGTGCCATCATTTGACTTCAAACAGAGAGATAAGAAGAAACAAGAGTGTGGTATCTCATGGTGCCACAAAATGTTTAAGAGCGAGGCCTCTGGATTCTGATAACTTTGAGTCTTGGTTCCTCTACTTACTGTCTGGGCAAGTTATCTGGCTCCTTCATACCTTGTGTCTTCATCTATAAACTGAAGATAATAGTAGCATTTACCTGCTCTTGGGGTCACTGGAGGGTTAGGTGAGTTCATACATAGTCTTTGCAGCAGTGCTTAGTATGAAATAAGCCTCAGTAATGCCATTTTTATTACTAGCTTTATGGTCTTAAACAAGCTACTTGTCCCTTCTGTACATTTACATCCTCGTTTTTAAAACAGGGATAATCATAGCAGCTAGCTCAAAGATGTGAAGATTATAGGTGCTAATACCCATTAAAGCCCTCACCACTGTGGCTGGCACACAGTAAGTAATAAATAATCATTAGCTGTATCTTTCTGGAAGTAACTCCGGCTTCTTGGCAAGCTGAGCCTTGAGCATGGAGATCAAACCAGGAAGGGAAGATCCTACTGTTAAATAGCAACGGTATCTGCGTCACCTAGCAATGAATTTCTACCACTGCATTGTTAGGGTCATGCCCTTATTAAGACCCCAGGGATCTTGTGTTGACAAGAGCAATCTGAGGTGGAATAAACACCAAATTTAGCTCTGGGAACAGTGGCTAACCAGAGAGAAAAATGTCTTGGAAAGAGTATGATACCCCTACTACTTCCTCCCCCCTTCTTCCTCACACTTCATCTTCTTCTTTTTTCCCTATTTATTTGGAGAGAGATGTGGGGGGGGGGAGAAAAAGAGTGGGGTGGGAGCAGAGGAAGAGGGAGAGAGAGAACCTCCAGCAGACTCCCAGCTAAGCACAGAGCCTGACACAAGGCTTGATCCCATGACCAAAATCAAGAGTTGAACATTTAACCAACTGAGCCACCCAGGTCCCCACCTTTCATCTTCTGAAAAGACTGCAGTGGGGAGCCACATCCAGTATTTACTCAGAGCAGACAGAAGAGAGGACAAGATGGACTAACCTCTTCTGTAGGGACAGTGGGCAAGAAAATGCAAATAATATGGCCACAGCCCAGGCCCTGAGGAGCTGGATATCAGTTTTAAATCCACCCAGATTAACAATGGGCTTCTAGTCAGTTTTCTTCATTAAGATCCTGGGAAGGCTTCTGTTACATCTGACTGTGCTGTAGATGAGGAGTACACCCAGGGTTCTCAGAACAGTGTCTGCTTCTGAAACTAGTGGGGGGAACTTCTCTATATATACTCCAAGGTAGGAAAAACACTAAAATTGATGACGGTGGAAGGGGCAGGGTAAAGAAGACCTAAGTTAAAAAGAAAACGGTAAACCACAGATCCATCCATCTGATGTACTCATTGAAGAGCAGAATCCTTTAATTGTGGTCAACAGAAGAACTATGTGATGACCAGTACCCACTTAAGAAGTAAAGAAGGAGGTGCCTGAGTGGCACAATTGGTTAGGTGCCCAACTCTTGGTTTCAGCTCAGGTCATGATCTCAGGATTGTGAGATCGAGCCCAGTGTCCTGCTCTGAGCTCAGCAGGGAGTCTGCATAAGACTCTCTTTTCCCTTTCCCCATCCCCACCTAAGCTCTCCCTCTCTCTCTCTCAAATAAATAAGTAAATATTTTTTAAAAAAAAGTAAAGGAAGAATCTGGCAATTTCTCAAAAGGTTAAAAATAGTTACCATATGATCCAGAAATACAAATGGTACATCTATACAGTGGAAGACTATTTGGCAATAAAAAGAAATGAAGAAATGAAGATACCTGCTACAACCTTGAAAATGTTATGCTCAGTGAAAGAAACCAGTCACAAAAAGCTACATATTGTATGATTTCATTTAAACAAAATGTTTATAATGGACAAGTCTATAGAGATTTTTTTTAAATTTTTATTTATTTATGATAGTCACACACACACACAAAGAGAGAGAGAGAGAGAGAGAGGCACAGACACAGGCAGAGGGACAAGCAGGCTCCATGCACCAGGAGCCCGATGTGGGATTCGATCCCGGGTCTCCAGGATCGCGCCCTGGGCCAAAGGCAGGCGCTAAACCGTTGCGCCACCCAGGGATCCCTTATAGAGATTGTATTAGAGTTATCTAGAGAAACAGAATCAGTATATATATATATATATATATATATATATATATACTGTATATATATATACACACGCACGCGCCTTAGTATACATATATATGTATACACATATACGCTACATATACTAATATATATACCTATCTATATATATGTAATACTATTATATGCATATATTGTACAGTTTTTGTATATACTGTAATATATGTATATTCTTCATATATATATTTATTAATCCCCATATATATACAGAAACAGTAGGATACCTATATAAATATAAATAGATATATATTTATAGGATATACATATGCTACTGTTTTTATGTGTGTATGTATGCATATGTATAGAGAGGAGGGATCAGAGAAGGGGAGAGAGAGATTTCTTGTGAGGCATTGGCTCACATGATTATGGGAGCTGAGAAATCCCACAATCTGCTATGTGCAAGCTGGAGACCCAGGAAAGACAGTGGTATAATTAAATCTGAGTCCGAAGGCCTGAGAACCGGGGTTGCAGATTATGAAATTCCAGTCTGAGGGCAGGAGAAAATGAGATAGATGTTCCAGTTCAGTCAGTGAGTCAGAAAAAAAGGGACAAATTCTCTTCCTCCACCATTTGTTCTGTTCAGTCTCTTAACAGATTGAGTGATGGCCACCCCACTGGCGAGGGTAATCTGCTCTACTGAGTCCACTGATTCAAATGATCATCTCGTCCAGAGACGCCCCCCCCAGGCATGCTTCATGGAAATTTTTAACCTGGGCAAGCCTTGGCCATTCAGGCTGTGTAAAATTAGCCATGACAGAGAAAGAAAGTAGGGCTGGAGGCATGGAGGGATGGTTGGGGGATGACAGCTCAGAGATGTGGAGCCTCCTTTTAGGTAATGAAGATGTTATAAAATTCATCGTGGTGATGGATGCACAACTCTGTGAAAATGCTTAAAAGCCATTAAATTGTACTTCAAATGGATGAATTATATAGTGAATTATATCTCAATAAAGCTGTTTTAAAAAGTCAAATGAAAAAAGAAGTCAAATGAAAGAAGCCCTGAGATCCCTCCTGAAAACACTTTAATTAAAAAAAAATTAAGAAAGGAAACGCTATTCACCAGGAGGGATGGAATAATACATAGGCAGATTCGGAACATGTAAAGGTCCACTTCCTCGATTTACTATCTGAACGATGTTCGTTTGGGTCTTCCAGGCTCTCTCACGAGCCTTCCTTTAATCCCTCCAGCCCACAGAAGCTATTTTCCTTTTATGAACACACATCTAAATGAGGATCTGTTATCAACCATTTAGCATTTAGTTTACAAAGCACAGCTCTGAAATCATGGTAGCATATCTACAGTTCATATGGGGAAATTAATCCATGACTCTATGCTGATTAAATTCAGTGTTATTTTTCTGTTCATATTTCATCTAGCCAGCTAAGTAAATGCTTCCTAAGGGCAGCCACCAAGTCTCCTGGTCCCCATAGAGCCTGACATAGTGCCTTGCACCTGGCACACCCTCAATAAGTGTGGGGGGTGGGGAGGAAAAAATCTTTGCAAAGAAGTGGAGATGGGTTATTTCAATACCCGCTTTGTCTTCTAGGTGAAGGCTTCCACAATTACCACCACACCTTTCCTTTTGACTACTCTGCGAGTGAATTTGGCTTAAATTTCAACCCAACCACTTGGTTCATTGACCTCATGTGCTGGCTGGGGCTAGCCACCGACCGCAAACGGGCAACCAAGCCAATGATCGAGGCCCGGAAAGCCAGGACTGGAGATGGCAGCACTTGAACCTGGAATCACCATCCAACTGTCTGCCATCGACATCTCAGTTCATGGCTTTAGTTACTATTGTTCTCTTGTTCATTGGATGTGGGAGGGGGTAGAGAGTAGAGAGGGAATAGAATCTATGTGCTTTGGGAACTTTTTGTTTGTCTCAAAATAATTGTCAACTATCAATGAAAAAAAAATTTAACGTCAATGTAACTATGATTTAACATTAGAGTGTGAACACACAATTTAGTCGCCGTAGTTTTAGTATGTCAAACACACATGGTCATGTGCTTGTACATGATGTTGACCCTGACAGGATGAAGGAGCCTAATATTCTCTCGGTGTCATTCAGAAGAGCATTTGTTTTCTTTTCTACCAGTTAACCCAGTGCTGTTTTTCAACCCATTATCTGAAGGAGCTGAGAGGCAGGGTAGAAGACAAAAGAGAGGGTCAGAGTAACTAAAGAATGTTTCTGTTTTGTAATTACTATGTGTGTGTTTGCTTTTGTTTTTTTAAATAAGAGAATTCATCATTTAAAAAAATGACAGTACAGGAAATGAGTCTCTTATTCTTTCTGCCCTGTTTACAGCTTTTTAATCCTCCACTGTCTTTGCTTCAGAAGAGATCTGTCCACTGCCCAGCTTGTTTTGTGTCCCGATTATGCCAGCCAACCCTATAAATCAGTGCTTATATGGGTGTTTGATTTTATTCTCTTTGCTGTTGTCATTTTAAAGGTGTATAACTCAGATGTGCCAGACATAAAATTAAGCTCAAATTAAGCTCTCATTTAAATGTTTAGACACCTAATTTATATTCTCATTGATCCCAGCCACTGATGCATGTACTTTAGCTACTCCTACTAAATAAGCATATTAATTTTCCACACCAGGCCATCAGATCTTAATAACCGACAGTTATCTAGAACTCAGTGTCTCCTAATATTTTCCCTGCATGCAGCCTTCATTGATTTTGCAGCAAAATATACAGTGATCATTATGTCGCTTCTGGATTAAAAATATTTTCGTGTGTTAAGTTGCCTTGTAAAGAGCATGTTGAATAAATGGGGCAGCATGGCCTCTGTGGTGGTTGTTAAAGCAAAAGAAAGATGTTGGAGCACTTTGAAGATAGATCTTTTCAGGAAAACTGTAGTAATTTAAGTTTTTTGAGAAAGAAGTGATACCAATAGGAAATTGTCATAATGAAGTTCTTCATCCAGCAGGTGTTTAACAGTGTTATTCTGCCATTTTGCCATTAATAATGTATAACCATCTATGAGTGATTTACAATAAATGATTATGAATTTGTTGGTGTTCTTGACCAGCTACTTAAATGTTCAGAAGATGTTCTCCCAAGGGTACCTGATGCCCCATGATGACCGTGTGATTCCCATTTGATTTGAGCTCTGGACTAACAGGGCCCCTAAGAGCAGGCCTCCTATATCCCATCTGCCTTAGGCCACAAGGAAAATAGACTAGTTTTATTTGGAATGCAGCACCCCTAGTAGTGTCATTCCCCCACTTCTCATTCACCAACACTGTCCCTTGTACTGCTTCCAGCTGACAAATGGGAACCACTACTCCTACCTGTCACCCAAAAGAGTGTGAAGGACATCTTCCTCCCTCAAGTCCCACCAGGCCCCACTAGGACTGACCAAAGATGTGGGAGACAAGCTCAGCTCTCCCTCTAGTCCTGCCTCCCAAATTTTCCCATGAGCTGCCTCACTTTCTGCTCTTAACTTTTCCCCAAAGCACCTGTTTGTTCCCCTGCCATCAGATACAGACTTCTTAGCCTGCCTGCAGTTGAGTGGGATTCCAGCCATTGGACCCTTTGGGTATGACTGTAGCTATCACCACTGCTTCATACTGCAGCCGCACATTGCTGAGACCTTGTATGGAGGATTAGTAGTGTAATTGTATTCTAAGTTGGTTTTGTATCAACACAACCTAAAATGATTGGGAATATTTCTAACTGAGAATATTTCTGTGATTCTTTGACCCTTAATTATACTAATCTTATTGCTTATCCATTAATAGAAAAGGCTGCATTTGGAGAGAACTATTTTAAATCTTCTCATGAAAGGAGGATATTCCCCCATCTAGTCCAGATAAATCCAGAACCTCACTCCTCTGAACCTGAGTGCCACATATTTATCTGCAGCAGTGCCCATGAATGAGAATTGGGATGATTTTGTTGAAGGAGTAGATGAAGGTTAGATCCCTCTAGAGTCTTCCATATTAGCACCCCCTGAAGGTCTCAGCAGCATCCAAGGGAAGAAAGTAACCCAAGACTATCCAAGGTGGCCCTAGAGAGGTTGGTACTTTTTTTTTTTTTTTTTTTTTTTTTTTTTAGAAGCTCAGGTTTAGAATGAGAGGATGCCCTGTCCTTAATCCCCAGGGCCCTATGAGGCTTATTTCAGAAACATCCACCTATGCGTCTAGGTGAGGGGAGTCAAGGGGAAGCAATTTCAACAGTGCTTCTCCCATGTGTGTCATGGCAGTTACATGGAGCTGGTCGGATATGACAGAGCCAGCTCAAGCGCACTACCAGCCAACTGTGTGACCTTGAGAAAACTAGTCTTTCTGGATCCAGTTTTCTCATCTACAAAGACAGATGGAACTAGACTCTGGCTAAGGTCCCACCAAACCGTGATGGTCACCGACAGCAACAGAGCTAGGGACATGCCTGACTTCGGATTCAAAACACCTCTCAAGTTTGTGCCCATCCTTTCTGGGACCGGGCAAGTCAATATTGAGGGGAAATAATTGAGTCTGAGTGGGAGAACACATAAAGAACATACATCTGTTTCATTCATTCCCCAAATATAATGAAACAAGAAAAATAAACATAATCCATGGAAAACAATTTAATCAAAGAAAGTATTACAAAAAGCTCTGGCTTAGTGGAATGGTAGAAATCGTACTGGACTCTAGTTCAAGACCTGAGTTTGAATTCTTCCTTTTTTAAGTTGAGGTATAATTGACATACATTATATTAGTTTCAGGTGTACAACATAATGATTTGATATTTGCATATATTGCCAAAAAGGCGCCAGTTGGCTTAGTCTGTATATATTGCAAAATGATTACTACCATAAGTCTTGTTAACATCCATCACCACATGCAGTTAGAAAACTCTTTTTCTTACGATGGGAACTTTTAAGATCTACTCTCTTAGCTACTTTCAAAGATGACATACCGTATTATTAACTGTAGTCACCATACTGCACATGACATCCCTATGACATTTATTTTATAACTGGACGTCTGTATCTTTTGACCAACTTCACCATATTGTCCGCCCCTACACCCCACCAATCTGTTCTTTGTATCTATGAGTTCATTGTGGTTTTTTTTTTTTAAGATTGTACATATAAGAAAGATCATATGTTATTTGTCTTTCTCTGTCTGACTTATTTCATTTAGCATATACCCTCTATGTCCATCCATGTCGTCAAAAATGGCAAGATTTCAAAGTCTAACTCATGATCTAAAGTACTGTGATACCTAGCACATATTTTTAGACTGAACCACGTGAAAGTGCCATTTATTAACCTATTGATCCTCTCTGCACCTCCACAAAGTAAGAACAGTAACACTTAAGTGCTCAGATAAATCTAGAGGCCTCAAAAAGAGGCCTGGCGCATTGTAGATCCCCAAGAGACATCAGCTGAGGGTGAGTAGCATGTCCCAGACACAAGACAGTAACTGAGCTATAGTCAAATAACCACAGACTGCAAGTGAAGAGGACCAGCTTCTAGTTCTGGTTCTGCTAGCTGGATGGTGGGTAGCAGAACAGGCCCCAAAACATGCCAATTTGACATAAAATTATTTCCAGTTAGAAGCACTTGAGGGTCACCTGGCTGGCTCAGTCACTAAAGCATGTGACTCTTGATCTCAGGGTTGTGAGTTCGATCCCCATGTTGGGTGTAGAGGATACTGGAAGAAGAAAAAGAAAGAAAGAAAAAAAAGAAAGAAAGAAGGGAAGAAAGAAAGAAGGAAGGAAGGAAGGAAGGAAGGAAGGAAGGAAGGAAGGAAGGAAGGAAGGAAGAAAGAGAAAGAAAGAAAGAAAGAAAGAAAGAAAGAAAGAAAGAAAAGCACTTAGAAACAGCAGGTGCAAGAGGGACCCTCTTGACTCCGTTTTTCTCCCTAAAAGCAGGAGATGAAACTCCCATATGAGAGCTGCCCTCTCTGTACCAAAGGGAAAGAAACATCCTTACCAGAGACAGAGAGAAGGCACCCAGAGAATCGATGCAAACAAGGGTTTGCAAGTAACCTTATCTTCCTTTAGCTCCCCTGTATATTCTGGGGACTTTTTCACCATTAGTGTTCTTTATCCAATCTGGTATATAAGCATTTGGGCTCCACCACGTTTTGGGGCTTCGCTTTCCCATGAGGGCTCCTATGAGCATATAACCATAAAATCTGTATGTTTCTCTCTTAATCCGTCTCCGTCAACTTAATTCTCAGGCCCAGCCTCACCCTTGGAGGCTGGAAGGCAGGTTCCACCTCCCCTCCGGTGGCTGTATCTCCTAGAGCCTCAGGGAGCCCTTCTGTAGAGGAGCCCAACTGGAAGGCATTGTCCTGTCCATCTGTCCAGCTGGCAGTGGCTCTGTGTGAAGCCAGAGCCCCTGAGGGTCCTTCTGAGTCTCGGCCTCCTTCCTGTGCCTTCAGGCCTCGGTCAGAGGACAAGCCCCACCAGTGGTGCCACCCGTGCTTCCTGCAGCTCATTTTTCTCCTCATCGGGATCTGGGATTGAAGACTGGTAGAAGGAAGAGGCCGAAGCTAATGGATAAAAATGAGTTTCAGGGATTATCTGTGACGTTCATTTATCCATTTCACTCCTCTGCTCGATTACAGAAGACACTGGAAGCCAGCTGGGTTCTCAGTGGCAGCTCATGCGAAGAACACAGAAGGAAAGAAGTATCCTAACCTTTATAACGCTTTTTGTTTTTAATTTCCCCACTTTTAGTTCAGGGTATTCATCAAAATCCTTTCCTCGACGTCAAGGAAATGCTCTAAATGACCTGGAAACTCCTCTCCTGTTCGCCCCACAGGCTGTAGAATTCATTACCAGCCCCCCCCCACCCCCCCATGTTCCGATTTCTAAATTTGCAAGTCAGGAGCAAGAGGAAGGAAAGCTCCGGCCTCTGTTCTGCTGGCGCCAGCAAGGCAGCAAGCCCGTGTTCCAGCGGCCACTGCGCCGTGACAGCCTCCTCGCTTGCCTGTCCTCCCATGACGCCTCTGCCGGGCACCCGGAGAGCCTTCAGCCGCAGGCTGCCTCCACTTCCACAGATTCAAGAAGAGACCAGCAGACAGCAGCCCCAGGTAGCAATGGCAGGGAAGACTTTCCCTGAGAAAGTGCCCTTCCTTACAGCTCCTAAACCTACAGTTACTGTGCAGGAAAGATGACTTGGCCTTCGACCCCCGCTTCAAATCCCTGCAACTCAGGATTCACTAAATTGATGTCCCAGTCCTTCCCTTTTTTGATCCTCTGCAAGGCTACCTACCTTTCATGTCATGGAGAGAAATCTCCAAAGTTACTTTTCTTTTCTTTTCTTTTTTAAGATTTTATTTTTTTATTTGACAGAGAGAGAGAGAGAGAGAGAGAGTACAAGCAGGGGGAGCAGTAGAGGGAGAGGGAATAATAGGCTCCCCCCTAAGCAGGGAGCCCCACTTGGGGCTCGATCCCAGAACCCTGGGATCATGACCTGAGCCGAAGGCAGAGGCTTAACCACCTGAGCCACTCAGATGCCCCAAAGTTACTTTTCCGACAGAAGCACCAACCACTGGGCAGAGCTGCCAAACTCTGTGTTGTGGGTGGACAAAGTCACTGGGTCCTGCTGGAGCAGGGCATGGTCGTATTTTTATCATCAGATTTCCTAAAAGCCGGTGCTCACAGTGTATGGATCATAAAACTGCCAGTTGTGGAGGGTGCTCCTTTTCCCAGGCAGTAGGACGTCACGTGTGAGGATGGTGGCGAGAGGAGGGGGCGCCCCTGTCGGGGACATGGTGTGACCACTGTGACCCCTGAGTGAGGATGAACTGGCTAGCCAGTGTCTCGAAGGAAGAGTGAATCATCAGCGTAGGTGATGACTTTCCAGTGCCCGCAAACAGGCTCCTCGCGCGCGGTGGAGGGATCTGGAAGGGCCACCTCACTTCTCTCCTGGTCCCTTGGTTTTTGACCGTGAATGCAACAACTCTGCTGTCTGAATTTAATTTTTTTTTTATGATAGTCACAGAGAGAGAGAGAGAAGCAGAGACATAGGCAGAGGGAGAAGCAGGCTCCATGCACCGGGAGCCCGACG